TATATATATATATATATACATTTTTTTTAACACAGAGATTTTTTTGCAAAAGCTTGAATGGCACCGACGAAACCTGCCCTTTGATCAAAATAATCGAAGACCCTCTACAGTTCGGTACCATTTATAAACTGTATTCAACCTATCATCAGACGTGGTAAAAGTGCTTATCCTAAGTTCTTATGATTAGGCGAACGAGCCTTGCTATGCGTTAATTGGCTTGTCGGAAACGGATGTCTAAACAGCCCCATAGATGCGCGCGTGTGCGTAAATGAGCGAACATTTAAAGGGCAAATCAATACAACTTGCTACTGATAAGTAGATCGACTGATATCGTCTGCAACCCCCTCGCGTTCTTAATAAAATCAATCCGGTTATTCCGACAAGATAACTTACTAAAAACTAATATAATATACAAAATCGTATCATATATNNNGTAAGAAAGAATTACATTATATTATTCCATAAATCTTTAATACAAATATATAATAATTTTTATTTGCATTTGTTGACAATGTAAATTTTTTTATATATATGTATATAACGTGATAAGCTTGAAATTTGTATTATTTTCTTTTATGCCACGTGTGCATCATTTTCTCGAAATAACCGGAATCCATTTGATAGCAATCCTTTTACACGATGGTACACGGAAGTCACTTTCTCTTCTCGTCTTCGCGCGTGGACATCTCGACAAAAATTTTCCGTTAGCTACTGACATAATAGTCACGTAGTTGGGACATCTGTCACACGAACCTGACAGGCACTTAAACCGTTGGAAAAATGCACGTTGCAATTTATTACAACAGTGCCGTGTAATTTCGCAAACAATTACGAGTGTGCGGATGCATTTAACGCGGTCATATGATGAGGAATGTCAATAGAACAAAGTCCCAACAAAAATAACATTTGAGTGTATGACAGAAATTTACTTAAGTACGCAGATCTCTCTCGACTCAAATGTTTTCCCACAGATATACAAATGTGATTAAGAATACTCACGCAACTCATACAACGTACAATATGCGCGCGAGTTGTAAGAAGTTAGATACAAAAGTATTTTTTTACGTTTAAAGTAATGTTAAAATAACGATTTCGAAAAATTTCTGCAGCTAATTTTGTCAATAATTATCTTAGGAATGTTGAAATATTTAAAATATAAAACTATCGAAATATAAGAAAATCAGATGTCAATGGTATCTTCCCTCTTTAAAAGATAACGGTCATTCGACTATCGACTGGCCTACATCCTTCTCAAGGACGGCTACAGCACGATCGTTCTTAGAGTATCCAACGCCCTTTTCATGAATGAACATCGTCCCATGACTGCTGTAGCATGAGCAAAAATGTTGTTTGCGGAGAGGGGAGAAAAGATCTTCCGCCAAACATAACGTATATGTATGTACGCGAATACTATGACACGCACAGCACTAATACATACCGATATTTAAAAACCGCTAATTAGCCTGTCGGAACAGTAGCCCAATTTTTTTGGCTATCGTAGCAATTAGCGCGGGTCTGTTAATGAGTACAGTATCTTTGCCGAAATTTACCGGCACTCTGTGTTTTCGAAGATTGGAAAATCTCGTACTTGAAAAAATTGCGATTTGACGACAATGCTTAACATGTCGTGAATATTGTGGAGAAAATTGCGAATCAAAAAATTTCACATTTTTTATTTTGTATCCCGCGAAAAAACAGGGTTTTATTATATATTTTACGGAATAATATTTTTTATACAAATTTAAAGGAGATATATATTATAAAATATACTAAAAAATATAAATTCAGATTAAAATTCACAATTTTTTCAAACGCGATACTCTTCTACTTGTACATTGGTGGAATTTTACAAGTCTTTATAATTTGAATTTGTGCCGCTATGAAAATTATGTTAGTTAAAAGTTATGTTAGCAAAAATATGTTAATTCTATTTTTTGTTAACAACAAATCAGATTTTTCTATCCTTTCTAATCACCTGCGAATTATCGTGTGCGCGCTATTATTACAAATATCAATAATAATTAAATCCGTCAAGAAACGTCCGAGAATCAACAAATAGATTCTTCTATCTTATCTTCTATCTATCTATCTATCTATAATTATATTCGTGACGAGTCTTATATTCTTATCATTTTTCTCCCTTCTGACTCTGAGAGAGCTTTAAACAGTTTCATTGATTGCTATAATTTGTTCAAACCACCCCCGATTTTCTTTGATATTTTCGAGCCGAAAAGAAAAAGATTGCGTATGAAAAATACACGCAATGCGCAGTTAACAAAAAAAGCCAGAATCTGAAAAGACGACGAGAACAGAAGGAAATTGTCTAGTAGACTATTTCCGTAAGGAAACGATTATATCGCTGAAATGTTTACCCTCCTGTACAGTTTACTTTTCGAAATTTGTGTCACTACCCTCGGCATAGATCTTGCCGAAAAAGCAATATGTAATTGTAATAATTAAAGACTTTATACGCACTTCCGTCAACCGAGGCGATCGGCAAGGGTGCGTTTTCGATTGTATCTTCGCGGAGGGTGATCGATTGCTAATTTTATATTCGTCGCGGACTGGTGAACTGGAGAAATGGACGGGCTTTGATTCGTTTAGAATGGTACTCACGATACGGAAGCTGTTTCAATGGGTTCTATATGCACCCTCTTTCTCTCTCTATCTCTCTTCTTTCTTCGAGCTATTTCCACTCCTGGGCGTTACTCGACGGCGGCCTCGACTCGGCTATAACTACTTGACGGATTTCTCGCGTTCGAAAGCTCGAACAACAGAGGCGAAAAAAATGTACGGGACAGATTTGATCACTCTCTCAATGTTTTACAGATGCATCGCACGCTACGTCGTCCGCGACGATGGCGGTGAACGATTAAAGGGGATGAAAATCTATCCTGCCACGACGATCACTCGTCGACGACGACGACGAGGACGGCGACGACGACGTGCCGAGTGCGCCTGACTAGTGGTGGTGAACGCGCGAACATGGCCGCCCGACGTAAATCGATAAAACACGTTACGTTTTCCGGCGGCGGCGTCTCGACGCGCCGTTTGGAGCCGACGTTCTGCGTCGTTTTATCACCCCCGTCCCCGCAGTCCGTCCACTTCTGGCTCCGACGACGACGACGCCGAGGAACGAGCGCCGATCGACGTCATCGGTGCGCGCGGACGTTCGATATGTAAAGTGGTATCCTTCCTTTTCGAAAAATTCTCGCCGTTTTCCGGTAATGACGATGATGCTTATCGGTGACGTCACAATCTACCAACTTTAATTAGCGGTTCATTAGTTTCTCTTCAGCTTAACGGTAAAAAGCGTAAAAGAGCAAAAAGTGTTTGAAGAACAATTCGCACGAACACACACACACACACACACACACACACAGTTAATTATAATGAAATTAATAATTAAGAGATCTCTCTTTCCCCCAGTAGACGTCTTTCATTTAAACGCGTTTGACGCTCTTACGCAAGATTCCTGACGCAATTATAACATTTAATCCTCTTTAGAAATTCGACATGTATCCGTAATTATAAAAGATATTCGAATACACCTATTTTAATATTTATTTTGAATCCGAGAATATGTAAAGAAGCTCTCTCATCTTTAATAAATAAAGTTGTATAAGCGAAAAAACAGCATTTTTGATTATATTAGGAACCGGTCTTTTCTCAACAGAGGGTATATCGAGAAAGAAATATTACTTGTATGTGTGTGTGTGTGTTGTGTAAAACAGAAAGAAGTATAGTTTTCTGTGTATAAAACTTGCAAGAAACGCACCCTAACTTGACACATTCCCGAATCTATTTATTGCGATAGAGAACTTTCGATATTTACGGTACATCAAGTTGTATTCTTGAGTTAAAAATGAAATCTTTCGATGAATATTGTATCAAAAATAATAATAAAGAATAATTTTCCGAGAAAAGATATAAATAAGAAATTTCAAAAATAATTATACACACAGATGTAGTCCAACGAAATAGCTATAATAAGTGTAATTTGCAATATTGTTGGCGATACTACACAAAGTTTCTCGATTTTTATCCATGAAATATAATAAATAATTAACAAAATGGCTCTTTTAATTTTCATCAAAAGGAAACTTGAGTATCCGAATATCTCTGTTATTCTCTATTATATTGAACAATAAAAGTTGACAATTCTTACTTACTTATAGGCCGTGCGCGGCGATTCGTATCCGAATGCCATTTTAATGTTAATAATACATTGTACATTGTATCGAATCTCGAAATAGCGATTTTAATGGCGATATATCGACCACAGGCTAATATAATCTAGAACTCACATGCGAATGGGTGACGATTCTTTTCGAGAGATGAAACATTGCGATTGGAAGGAAATCGATCCGTAATTTTATTCCACTTTCTCTCTCTCTCTCTCTCCCTCCCTTTCACGTAGCCGAGTAGAAAAGGCTGCTATATAAAGCTTCGTAACGTCTATGTAAATCCTTTTGTCTGAAATAGTAACGAGCTAAAATGAGTATAACTTGCATTTGTACGTTATCTGTTTATATACAGAGATCTGATCGCAATACATGACGCAAAGTCATCGCGAGAAACATATATGACACAAAATATCAACTTTTTCAATCTTATATCGCTGACGCGGCAGATATTCCGTTAATTGGAATTATTAGTTTCACTTATTAATTAATCCATCGACATTCATTCATGGAGAAATTGTAATTAATATTCTGATCGACACAATACTCTCTAAATATGATTTATTGCATTTTAGACTTTTAGACGATAAGTGAATAAAAAGGGCGCGGGAAATTCCAGGTGAAACATCTTGTTTTTCACGCTAGATACACATATAATTTAAAGATATTCGTATGTATTAATACACAATCATCAAGTAATCAAAAATTATAGCTTGTACAAACTATATACAACCTATGTTGCCTTATATATTATATAAAATACGATATTACATACCTGCTCCTCAAATCCGTGATCTCCCGCCAGTCGCCATGATGAAAAAGATCGCAACAACGCGGGTATAACGGTCCTAGATTCCTGGGTAAAACAGAGAGAAACTGCGTTATCGATTATATTCAAACTGTCGGTATATAATCTCGAGAGCTCGCGCAAAGTGTCTCGAACTTGCGGACGATGGCGTGTCGCGATAATTCTGGGGTGTCATCTCGCCGCAAGCGCCAAAGCGCCCCAAGCGGTCGTCTTTCCCCTCCCACATCTCCGTCCCCTCTCCAAGCTTATCAAATATTTGTGTAATTTGTAATTGAAACGTGCCTACCTATATACACACTTGGTCGCCTGGAACGATGACGAATTTGACGCAGTCCTCGTCGTTAATCTCGTCATACATTTTGTACATTGATCTCTCGAGCCGCCCTCGATACTATGGTGAAATGGCATAGCCGCGCTGACGTGCGGATATACGCGGTCGGCGATTACGCACTCGTCGGAAGACGGATCTTCTATCGTTTCGTTTTGGCTATGTCGCATTTGGTGTGTATATGTCTGACTGATCGCGCGCGCATCGATGACACACGAGGCGAGAATTGTATTTTATTACTCCACATGTCTGATTTTGTTTTTCTTTTATTTCTTGGTAATATAGCTCTGAATCATTGTAATGAGAGAATATGCGAGATAAATAAGGATCGGAGACCTTTGTATTTTATTTTTCCTATTCGTTTTGTTATGCCGATGCTTCCCGCGATGCGTAACATTAACGAATCTGTATAAATTTTACAGATTATTGTGTTCTTTTTGTTTAGATAAACGAAGGATGGGTTGCATCAATAGTAGGACGAACGTTTTTCAAGTGACAAACGTTAATGACCAGAGTAAACCCATTGCTCGTGGACGTTTGGAGATCACTGAGATAGACATAATATTCCACCAGGATAGCAAGCAGCCGACTATATGGCCACTGCGCTGTTTACGGCGCTATGGGTATGATTCGGAACTCTTTAGTTTTGAATCTGGTAGACGTTGTCCTACAGGTGAAGGCATATATGCCTTCAAGTGTAGGAAGGCGAGAGATTTGTTTAATCTTGTACAAACGAAAATTCAGGTTTGTGTGAACATAAGCTTAAAATATATTTTTTATTTATTTATTAATAGGTATCCAAAAATGGGGATGACGCGCTGTCGAGAGACCTTTCAATTGCATCGCATCCTACTCCAGCAGTACCAAGAGTGGCAGTAGAGCCTAATTACTTAGATCCAATACCATCTAATAGAAGTAACAGTTGCATGGATTCTAGAATTAATCATAGTCAACAAAACGGTATCGGAAGATTAAGCAGTGTCGGAAGCAGCAGTGGTCCTATATCACCCCAGGGGACCATGGGATCACCCTCGCCACCTCCTATGCTGCCGCCTCCGCCACCGATTTCTCAGCCTCATCCGTCCTCTTACGTCAATGAAGAAGTCTTGTCATCTGGCCTTACAGAACACAACAATAACAAGAACCTTGGAAGAGCAGTACAAAGGTAGTGCATTAATTAAATCGATTGAATAAGACACAATATCTAATGTAATACTAACATTTTATTCTTATTGTCATAGATCACCACAGATTACTGCTGTTGAGAATGTGATATTTAAAAATGGACTCGCAGAAACAGAATTGATATCTGTTCAGCCTAGTGCAGAAATTACCAACTGTGACCCAGCATCGCCGTTATCGATTAAAGCGCCTCAAATGAATATAGACATCTGCAGCGAAACCATCTGCAGTCGTATCTCACCGACGCACAGTACTTCCGAAACGTATCAATTCAAGGAAGAGAATAACCTAAGCGGATCTCAACACGCATATATAAACGTAAGTCCCGGACAAGATCACATAGAAAAGATTGCTATCAGGGCACGACCGCCTCCATTACCCGTCTTGCAACCGGATGTCGAGGAAATCTCCAAGCATTGTTACTACAATTTGGAGGCAAGCGAGATCCAAATTTTAAAGAAGAGATTCTCCGGCACCTCGATAAACGAAAAATCGCCCTTAGCCCCCTCCACGCCAACGGAATGTCCGATTAGGGAAATGAATTATGCGGTCTTGGATTTGGATACGAGAGATTCACCTGGTACGTCCGATAACAACGCGAATTCGCCGCCATCTCCTCCCGAATCTCCAAACAAGCCGCAGATAGGCTATGTCACAATAGACTTCGAAAAAACGGTTGCTCTCTCGCACTCCGTCAATCCCAATCACGATAACGAAGGCTCGAGGAAGACTCGTCACAATTCCACAATAGACGACCTGGTGACGACTGCGTGCAAGCACAATTCGTCAATAAGTGAGTGACATATTTTATATTTCTTATAATGAGACAGTGTATCGTGTTCCTCGCTGTTCTGAAAAAAAGAGAAATTGGAAAAGATCGATTTAGTTTCACTATAAGCTTCTGAAAGTCATTAAACTCATTTTAATTACTCATTTAATGAACTCGTTACGCTTTAAACTTTCGACATTTCTTAGCATATTGGAGGCTACATACAGTATAGTTGATATACCACAAGATATATTTCTAGCGTATGAATTTGTATACAAATTTTCAGTGCATTTTATCAGAGCAACAGTATTCATAAATAATAAGTCTTTTTTCCAAGTTGGACTAAGACAGCATAGAGAAAAAATGTTTTTATATATATGACACATATAGATAAGTTTTTAGTACTTCACACACAAATTTTTTACATTTAGTACATATTTTATATTTCTTATAATGAGACAGTGTATCGTGTTCCTCGCTGTTCTGAAAAAAAGAGAAATTGGAAAAGATCGATTTAGTTTCACTATAAGCTTCTGAAAGTCATTAAACTCATTTTAATTACTCATTTAATGAACTCGTTACGCTTTAAACTTTTGACATTTCTTAGCATATTGGAGGCTACATACAGTATAGTTGATATACCACAAGATATATTTCTAGCGTATGAATTTGTATACAAATTTTCAGTGCATTTTATCAGAGCAACAGTATTCATAAATAATAAGTCTTTTTTCCAAGTTGGACTAAGGCAGCATAGAGAAAAAATGTTTTTATATATATATGACACATATAGATAAGTTTTTAGTACTTCACACACAAATTTTTTACATTTAGTATTTTACAAACTAATGTTGGAGGAATTGGAAGCTAAAGTGCCCTAATCTTTTTCTGTAAATATTGTAGAGATTAATATGGCTCAAATGATCGTAATGGAGACACAATGTGGTATGAAAATATACGTAAAGAAAATATATATGAATTTCACTGAGATAACGGGAATCATAATATAATGGTTAATTTTAAGTGATTGCTGTCATTAATTAGTTATTGTATCCATCGCGAAGATAACTAATAACAAAAAAGTGTAAATTTATAATATGAATATTTCTATAACAAAGTAATCACTTAAAATAAAATTGCGAGTGTCATATTTATTTAAGTTTGATATATTTGTGATGCAAACAATTAATGATATTAAAAATAACGCGTAGTTGATGCAAGAATTTATTATGTTCCAAAGATTATATATATTTTCATTTATAGTAAAAATTTATATACGCGATGTATTTAGCATTATTTATCCACTAAGATATTAATGATTCAAGTTGATTTACCAACTTTTTCTTCCGATAAAACTCTTAATCTGCTGTAATAAAACGCTGCAATACACATCCAAGATGTAAATAAGCATACATCTTTTATGGATATAATAATCATTAATTTTTTTATAGATATGTATATTGTTATCTATTATATTTACAGTTTATTATTAAAAGTGAAATTTAAACCAAATACATTATTTACATGTTTTATGTTAAACCAAAAATGTATGTATAGGAAACAGATATAATCGAATCAAGTATAAGTCTGTTTATCAGTCATAAAATATTTTTTGACACACACACGCACACATAGAAATACAATCGCGTGTGTTAAAAGATACGTAGAAATAATTGCAAAAAACATAGACTTTTATTTTTTTAAATAAATAAATTGCATTCCAGTTCTCTCTTTCTCTCTCTCTCTCTCTCTCTCTCTCTCTCTCTCTCTCTCTCGTTAGAAAAAATTTAGTCTGTGAACCACTATTTCCGATAATTCAATCGTGTCGATTGAATTAAATTATAGAAATAACAAATTTTATTTTACGAAAAAACATTTTATTAAATGGGATATTATTCCTATTTATTTCTTTTAAAATGTGTTGCGTTAGATTGCCCCTATATCGCATATATCTTTTTATGTAAAAGAATTTCTTTAAGTCAGCGACAATAAAAAATTGTTTGCCGTAAGAGCAACAAAATCCTGAAATAATCGAAAAAGGAATAATGTCAAATTTTACGTAGATGCATATATAATTAATTTTATGCAAATATATAGATATGTGCCTATTTTCTTTTTGCTATTCTCTATTTATATGGAAAAGAATAACTAATTTATTATGTATATTCTCTCTCGCATTATGGGTAGGATTCTTCTACTTTTATTTATCGTGATATATATATATGATCCATTCGGCTACGGATTTTCCCGTTTATTGATCGCCATGCGTGCAATCATATGTAGATTATTTCTCCTGGGATTTATTTAATTTGCGTTCGTCTCTTTACACTCGACATTTAAAATCAGTGTCTTCAATATTTGTTCTCTTTATTATGATACAATTTGTTATGCATTTAAATTTAATATTCTTTTATTATACAAAGTTTCCCGTTATTTATTTTATTATAATTTATCAAAAAATTATTAAAAAATGCCTATGTCGCAGAGAAAAGACATAAATGATAATGATATCGAAAAAAACACAATTTTTTTAGATATTTATTAATAAGATTCTCTTAATAATTGTAGAACAGAATCAGTACATTTCCGAACTCTTGGATCAAAGACAATGATATCACATGTAAAAATAAAAACTTGAAAAATACGCATTGTTTGATAATATTAACGTATTCACTGCCATATATAAATACTTAACAAACAAAATGTAGTACTTTCGCAGTTTATCGTTTAAAAAATAATTGATTGATATAAAAAAACCAATATATATCAAATAATTAAATGTGATAATATTCACAATGCATAATTTTGAAAAATATGGTAACATTATCCTGGATATCTGATTTATTTTCTATTGCATTAATATTATTTATGTGTGTGCGTGCGTGTATGTATAATTAACATTTTTCAATGCCGCGAATACTTTCAAAAAATACGAATGAATACTTTTAACTAAATTAATTGATAAAAAACTGAATTAAATGATACGTAAAGAGGAAGATTAATAAATTCAGAAAAAGAATACTTTAAAAACAACTGTAGAAAAAGTACATCTTTCATTAATGTACAATTTCAAATATTTTTTAATGCAACGAAGAATAAACGAGCGGTTTTGAGCAATAATGTTGAACGATCTGTTTTATGATTTTCCGCGATAAATAAAATTTTTTGCAGGTTCTACATAAATTTATAAATCGATTAAAAATTGGTAGTGAATAAGTTAATATGAGATCTCTCTGGCTTTAATGTTCAATAATTTTATACAGAAAATAAATAAATTGGCCTTCTATAGAGACATTTTAAAAATATCGTTGATAGAGGATATAAAAAATTTCTGTTGGATATACATGTGTATCAAAGTAATATATATATTAAATATATTATTACATGAAAGTCTCCATTTTAGTAGAGAGCAAAAAGAATTCAGGCCTATATAAAATCAGTTTATAATAAATATCAAAGATGGGCAAAATATTAAGATTACAAAATTTCAAATTTGACAGATATCCTAATTTTTATCAATATTTTTGTAATTTCGAAAATATTGTGACGACGACATCTTCATTAGGAGATATTTTCGGATTCTAACTAATTTTTAGAATATACAAATGAAATATTTAAATATTGCATGATGAAATACCCGTATAGATAATGCTCATCTCTAACAAATATTGTAGTGTAGTGTCGCCAGAAAATTATATGTAATATAATTTGTATAATATATGCGTGCACATTGAAGAGAAAGTTAGAACAATTAATGTTAATATAGGAAACATATGATAAGTAACATTGTGCAATGTGCTTGGCATAGATAAGATTTTTGTTCTCTATGTAGTGTATTACAAACACAACAAACCTAATACAAAGGCCTCAGCTGTAAAAAAAATATTCTTTTTCTAAATTATTAAATATGCATTAATTCATGTATTTTAGTTTTTATAAATGTATACCGCAACATTTTTAGCATGGCCTATAATTCTAACAAAATTATCATCAGTGCTCAAATACATTAAAATATCATAGAGAGAGAGATGTGTACATTTACATTAAAAAAATGTACAATTATTTATCCAAAGAATCTGTCTTTAAGAATGTATGGTTTAAGATATCTTAGATGACATAGAATATGTAATCGAGCTCTATTGTTACAATAATATTCTTAGAGCCATATTTGTGGAGCCATACATGAGTTTTGATAACGCAATTCATACGTTTTTCTTGTACCAGATTATTATTATGCATTATAATTGGTGACTTAATAAAGTTAAAGATTTTTGAAAATTTAAGAACTATAATTTAAAAAACTGCTGTAAAATGAAAGAAAGTGTTATCGAAAAGATAAACGTGCGTGTTGAGCATTTTTATGGGATTGTTATGTAAATACAATCCCGTTGTGGATTGTTATGTAAATATACAAGTAGAATGTGCCAAAAAAAAGCATAAATCTCTTTTATAATGATGTTCAAAGTTTGAAGCTGTAACATATATATTCAGACTTGTTTATATATATGTTTCTTCAGGTTTGTTTATATATATATTTTAAAAACACTCGCATATAGCACAAGAAAGCCTTTATATATATATATATATATGCTTTCTTGTGCTACATGCGAAGGTTCTCAAAATAGACATAGCCGATAACAATGATAGTGTCAATCGTGAATATGCAATATAACAGCTGTATTATAGACAAATACATCGAATTGAATTTTTATCGAAGAATGTGTGTTTGTGTGTGTATAGATGTATGAATTGTTTATGCTACACTAAATGCGCGTACCATAATTACATGTAATGATATCATTAGAAAGAGCTTTTTATCAGTAGCAGCCACGAAAAGTTGGCAACGTGTCTCAGAATTCGTCGTGCGACAGTATTACGTATGCTAGCACACATTTTCCGATTTTCTTTAAAATGCACACATTCGTAACGAATGCATTTATTGAAATATGTTTTTAATATTGATTTGTTAAATATGTATATATATATATTTCGCGAATTAATATAATATTTTATACGATCGATTGGCAAATATTGTTTTCATGAACTTTTTCTTCTTTTTTGTGCAATACACAAGAAGATCTAAGATCGACAGTGCAAAATGTACGTAAATTAAAATGTCAGCTGTAAAATATATTTTGTAATAGATGTGCGTCGAAAAAGGATTTGTAAATTCGTTTCTATTCTATCCTATGTGCATGTAATAGGAAAAAGCCTGTATGAAATAGAGGGAAGACGTATTTATTTTTATACAGTGTCTTCTTGACGTTTTAATGTAGCAAAGTATAGTAAATTATACATTATATGTACATTGTGTACGAGAGAGAGATTATTATATAATATTTATGTTATAACTCTAACACAGCCTTCCAGACATCATGTGATACTTTGAGGAAAATGGTTTATATAAAATCTGTTTACACTTATATAGCTGTATATATAGACATGCTCCCGATTTATTCATTTCCGCGCTTTATTTTACAGATTGTATGGATTTATAAAATATACACTAATGTTATAAAAAAAACTATGTCATTTTATTAATCCCTCTTCAAATAATTCGACAGTGACAACAAGTAAACGTAATTGAAATGTTAAATGTAATAATAATATGATGTCTCGAAATTAAGATGACAACAACGATATGAAAATATATATCTGTGCACATAATATTCCGATGTTTTATATATTTTAAATAGTAAATCTCTCTCGTGTCGCAGTCTTTTCAAAATTAAGTTGCACTTTAATCCACAACTGGAATTTATATGGCAACGGGATTTTATATTATGCTTACGATTGCACGTATAATTTCAAATCCGCGATACGTATCGCAATATTGAGCAATAACAAGTGTGTGACAATTACAATTTTATACATAGTAATCTCTATTTAGTAATTTGAAGCAATTACTGAATACCAGCAGAGGTGAGAATCATAAGGTGGCGGCGCGCGATCAAGCGGCAAGCTGTCGACGTCTGGTCAATTCATAGTCTATAAGAACTGAGATGTCGGGATGACGGCGCAGGATCGTCGCGCAATAGCGCATGGTTTGACTGGGATCGGCGCCGGCCTTGAGCAACACCTTAACGGCGTTGACAAATCCGCTCTCGGCGGCAATCTGCAGCGCCGTCAGACCGTCGACGTTGACCCTCTCCAATTGAGCCAAGGGCGAGGTGACTAACAGCGACACCGTCTGATGAAATCCCCTCGCCGATGCGAGATGCAACGGCGTGTTACCGCCGGCGTCTTGCGTCCCGGGATCTTCACCGTGCTCCAGCAGCCACATCACCACGTCGATGTGGTTCTTTCGCGCAGCTATATGCAGCGGGGTTTCACCATATCGCGATACAATGTCCGTCGGCGTGCGCGGCATCAACAACGTCGCCGTGTTCAACGTGCCGCACTCCAGACTCTCGTGCAACGCCGTCTCGCCGCGATCATTCTTCAACGCGGTGTCCGCCCCGGCGGTCAGGAGTGTTCCGATCACCGACTCGATGTCGGTCTTGCAATTGTTATCTGCGCATAATCGTGCGTCATTAAAAATCTTTCAAATTACGTAGAAAAAATACGCAAAGAATAAAAATACGTTTATTAAGTTATCGACGAAAACGCGATTCGAAGGATGCGCACCTAAGCGACAAATAAATTTTATATAAATGCTAATATATTATCTTAATCATACCGAAGACGGTCGAAGATGCTAAGATATGCAGGACGCTTCGGCCTTGGTGATCCTTGGCGTTGATGGGTCCAGCTTTTGCCAGCAATTCCAATGTCTTCAAGGCGGCGTCGAAATCGTGATGGTGGGACTTCAGCGGTGCGTGTGCCAGCTGACGGGAGAGCATGTGCAACGCTGTCGACCCACCGCCGGCCTCTTTGACGCCTGGCGGACAGCCATGCCTCAAGAGATCCTCCACGAATTTCAACACATTGCCCGGCCCGCCGTTCAGGATCACTCTATGAAGTGCCGTTTCACCACGCGGCGAACGCACAGCTGGATCGCATCCGTTCGTCAACAGCATTCTGTAATATATACGACAATAAAAAAGATATAATATTATACCATTAATCGCGCATATTTTATTCTTACTACTATTAATTAATGTAGTAAAACATTTTAGTAGTGTATAATAGCACGTAAAAAAATAATAATAAAATATAATTACATCTAATACATTGCAATAAATTACGAAATGCGCAAAAATAAAATAGTATAATAATATAATAATTAGATTAATTTTGAATTTAAATAATAGTGATATTTAGATTAATTTATGAATTTATAATGAATGGACTTTTGGATATGAGAGAAGAATGCTACGCGATGACTCGTGAATGACTCATAGAGTCTTTAAATTGGTGCAAACTTTGGGAATGAGATAATTACGTAAAGTAATACAACGTTATCTTAAACGAGTCGATCGTAAAGGCGGCGATAACCAGCTAAATTCTTTTTCGAAAACAAGATTGAAAAATCTACCTGAGCACAGGCAAACAATGATTCGTTGCCGCCATCAATAGGGGTGGATCACCTGACACGTTCCAATCCGGTTCATCCAGGTTTTGCACGCAGCCGCTGGCGATCAACGCTGAGACGCGCTTAACGTCTCCCGATCGCACGGCATCGTAGAACGAATCGCTGTCCTGGCGACCGATAATAATCTCCCTTTCAGTCCTCTCATCCTGCATCTCGGCCTTCGTGTCCAGACGAAGTTCCGCCACTTTCTCGTAACAAGCTCGTATATCTCCCGCCGTAAAATCTCGGGACTTATCTCCGATACAAGCATTGCTGTCGTATGTCATATGTCGTTCTTGTACTCCAATCTCCAGCATGCTCCGATTTCTTTGTTTCTGATCCTTGAATTTCTCTTGGTTCTCGACTTCGTCGTTCTGTCCGTCCTCTTTCGCATGACACGTGGATGCGTTTTCCGTCGCGGTGCTATTATTCGCTGATAAATTCAAAACCGAATTCTCCTCCTCATGTTCCTCATTATCTTTGAAGATCAATTCGTTCCTGGCTTTATTCATTCGCGAAGTATCAATACTTTTTTCATTTTTACCCTCTTTCTTGCACGCATTTTCCGTCATCCTTCGTGCATCTTCGTCGAGCGCGCTCAAATCATCTTGAAATGATTCATCGGGCAAAACACTAACTTTCACTGCGAATTCCTCGAAAGAGGAATTACCTGTTGTGAGACTGGCTCGTCGTGACGATGAGGTCTCCTCCATATCAACGACAAAATTGTCCGGGTTGTCTAGCTCTCGACCGTCGAAGTGAGCTTTCGCGGAGTCGCGCAGAGTCATCGTCTTCTGCTGTCCGCGTTCCGTCGTCGCCTCATACGCGGAAGTCATCGCGTGCGCTTAATTGATCTCGATTATTCGCGCTCGTGCAATTGGCTCGATGCGGGACGATACAGCGAGTGGACGTAATTAGCCTGTGAAACACTTCGCTTTCGCAGATCAAAGTTAAACTACGCTACGCGATATAGCGCGCGTTCGTCGTACAGTAAAATCCCGTGTATTATAAAAGAAACGCAACGAGATGAACAAAACAGACTGATTGAACAGAGCCGAAGCAAACGTTACCGGCGCTTTACTAACGCCTCGCTAAAGAACGAGAGGCTCCATAGCTCCATCGATGCTTGCACCGACTTCATCCCTTCTTTTTCCTCCTCCTTCTCTTCTTCTTCTAACTCTCTTTGCTTCCTCTCCGCACTACATTCAGTGTTTCGCGTTCAGTGTAGCGCGTTTCGCCTTCATTCGTTGCTTGCCCCACTTCACCGGCTTTTTAATCCTCCTCTGGCAAAGCCATAGGTGCCGAACCATTGGAATTTAGGCCGACCACGCTGGTGAATGTCGTATCGCCGATTCATATTCATATTTCTGTGGTTGTATAAAATGATTGAATTGCATTTTTCCTAAAGCTGAAAACAATGTTAATAAAATCAAATTTTCAATTACATTCTTATTGTTATAATAATTATTATTATTAAGTAATAATTTATATTAAGTAAGAATAATTATCAAAATTACGCTAAAAGTGCTTACTTGATAAAATATTCAATTTGATATATATATTTTGCGCATACATTCTCTTCTTTTTCATTACAATTTTAAATAATATTTAGTACACACTTTATATGGCAACGAAATTTGACAATACAAACCTAGAAATATAGAAGTAGTAAAAATAGCATATTTCTATAAATAAAAAAATGAAACTATATTTAATCTTTTTTACCGGTTATTCGTTAATGCAACTCTTCGAAGCGCGACATGATGCGCTCGCAAATTAGATCGTAGCCGTTGATGCTACGCCTATTAACTCGCTCTGCCTTCTGTCGAGTAATGATGACGCAAAAAAATTTCAAGAGAGAAGAAAACTCTCGGCGATGCCGAGTCGTGATCGCGATCAAACACACAGATGTACATGCGAACCCAGGGGGTAGAAAAAGGAGGAGCTTAAACTATACATGTACTTGTGTAGTGTGGAAACTTGGGATTTCGGCGAGATGTTAATTGAATGTATAGGCAAAGTATTCAATGTATAAGCGCGTGCATGTCTGAAAAGTTACCCCTTTATTGAACACTGGTTTACAAGAAACTTAAAAACGAGCGATGAACACAGAGCGAAGAAAACCGCAGTAGGAACAATATAGTAATATGTGCCTTCTTTCTTGTGTACAAAATAATCTTTCAGTCATTTATATATCCATATTCCGAAAACAGGTAACTTCTGTATGCGCTAAATGTGTGTGTGATATAAATTAAAGAAATATATATCGCAGCTTTCCAATTAAATCAAAGGGAGAGTCCGTCGAAAGCGCGTCGATTTTAAATCATATCTCCACTAAAACAAAAATACTCACAATATATTATCATTCGATTTAACGATAACAAACGATATTTGTGATACTCACTCGTTTACCTGCTTCGCGACCTAGAGCCCGATCGAGATTTTGACTTGGTTCGATCTTTGGAAACAGACTTGCGTTTCTTGTTACGATATTTATCTCTGGCACTGGCACTCTTGCTCCGGGATCGGCTGCGCCGTGATGAACGCGAGCGCGAACGATTACTACGGGATCTCGAGCGGGAACGTGAGTGCGAGCGCGATCGTGATCTTGATCGCGAGCGGGAACACCTAAAGTAAAAGCCACGATGAATAAATGTTTGAGTAAAATGACCAATGTGCGCGTATATCTTTGCCTATCCTACTATTACAAAACACTAGCATGAAACATAAAATATGGTAATTTTACTACTGTCTTTAGAACTCGAGATTAGACTTTTATATAGCATGTACTATCTCCAAAACTATTAATTGCGCGCATTCCGATTTCGCCAACATGGTAAAATCTCTCTCTGTTCCTGTTAAACCTTTAATATGTATATACACACATACATGCATCTACATATATATATAAAAGTCTAAAAAATATTCTTATAAATATTGAAATATCTCGATATCACACAAGTTTTTTTTTTTAAATAAAGATACACATTAGTGTATATATAACAAATAGTAAAATTATCCGAGCTCTAATATATAAAAACTGTCAGTTTTACTTATCAGGATCTAGTCTTTAAAATATATCGACGAAATTTCTGCTCAATCTTTGTTGAATAACTCTCTGCCCAACCATTTCCATAAATGTATGCAACTAATTTTAATCGTGCAAGCTTATCCATAATAATGTAACACAGATTTCTTCATTACGCGCTTTAAAACTTCACTCTGCATCACTGTATACATTAATCCATGTGTAGAATATATACTTGACTGGTTCTACTTATGTACCATCCTGTTCCCCGGGCTGTACTTATAGCAGATAATCGTAGATTGCGATGGCTATGCCGGGAAAGGAGAGCGGACAAGCGCTTTTATGCAGATGAAATCACGAGAGGTTCGGAGATGAACGGAGATGAAGAGTGGCTAGAGATGGAAACACTGAAAGTTTGTCTCTCAGCGGTCATTAGGTATCATTACGAGGACGACGACGATGACAACGACGATGACGACGATGATGATGACAATGATGACGACGACGACGACGATGATGATCAATGATGACGACGACGACAACGACGACTAGGCAGAAATCACAGATAGCTGAACGAAGAACGTCGACGTGCGTAAACTCTCGATCTAGATCAGTGATGGTCAGTGGTCACCGGATCGGTATCGTAGTAGTGCGCAGAACTAGTAGCCGCCACACGTGTCCGGCCCCCATGATTTTGCCGCGCTTTCTCGCTCGCAGAGATGTGCAGAGGGAAACCCAAAGTAGGTGGGGTGCTCTACGCTGTAACTACGACGCGCGATGTGTGTGTCACGAACATGTGAACCCAAGGCGAATCTCGCGCGACAATGTCGGGCGGCAACACACATTTCTCATGCGTGTGCCGCATGTTCAGCCGCAACTCCTATAAATAATGGGTAGTATTATGTTTGCCGCCTTACAAACAGTTTTTTTATGTTTGTAGGAATAATTTTTTTTCTCTTAATCATTGATCATCTGAATGACTTATAATCGCTATTGAACAAATAAGACAACCTACGCAATCTTTTTGTACAACTATAATGCAACATTTACACAATAAATGCGATACTTTGACAGTCATTTGATCAAATATGTCTTATGTGTAACAATATAGACCACCTTATTGGAGATATATTAAATATAGCAGTGCTTTTATGCTTCTCCTAATTATTAAATGTCAAATAATTAATAAAATACATATTTTAAATACTTAATCTAAATACGATTAATGATTTACATAAAATAATATCTTTGAAGCAATTGTAAGTTTGAACCTGTACTTTGGCTCATATAGCAAGATATAAATGTATATCTTTCTGTAATTATTCTATGATCCTTTTTCATCCAACAAGTTAAGTCCTCATAGTGCGTGTACAAAGGCAAAAACTTATGTACAAAATATAAACAATTCAATATACAATCTTTTAAACATGATATATATAAATTTAATATATACAAGGTTTAAAAACTGTTTTTATATATAGAAATTATGAATAAGAAATAATTATTAACTCTATTTAATAAAAAATTTTTAGAAAACTTACCTTCTTCTACGAGAAATCCTGTGACGATGACAATCTCTAGCGTAGTGGCCCCTTTCACCACATTCATAACATTTATCTTCCGGATGAAAGGGTCTTCCACTGCCTCTCCTGAAGGAGCCTCTATCTCTCAATTTCTTTCCGTTCGACAATTCTACACGAACGCGTCTTCCGCATAAAGTACGACCGTCCAGTCCTCTCACTGCATCCTCTGCGTCTCTAGGATCCTCAAATTCGACAAAGGCAAATCCAGGAGGATTTCTGGCAACCCAGACATTTTGTAAAGATCCATAATAGGAAAATGCATCCTCCAATTCTTGCTTACTAGCGCTACTTCCCAAATCTCCCACATAGACTTTGCCATCGGAGGGATAACGTGACATCTAGATACACACATATGTGTAAGATTAAAACAAATACAGTTAAAAGCAAAATACTAATAAATAAGATGGATAAAAGCATAAAAGGAGGAAAGAGGAACTTGTGTGTAAATATATTTCGTATTAAATTTTTTTTAAGATAAGAAAATATTTAAATATATATAGATAAGTCAATCGTTTGTAAATAAAGCAATAACGTTTCGTTAATTTAAAACATTAAGCTGTCGACAACATAATTCATTTGTATTTGTATACCTTGCTCATTTTGCTCGCTTCGTAGATTATTCGTAAATATAAAGAACTATGGAGCAGAAACTATACTGTATTTTTTGGAAAATATGTGATCGTTCCGTGATTAGCGCGATGGCTTCTCACTTCTCATGTACACCATATCGATTCGAGAAACAAATTACGAATTGATTAAAGAAACCGCTTTTCATAGAACCAATTTTTCAATAGCGTTTTCACCATACGATATTTACGATGATGTCCACCAATACCAAGCGATATTTCGCTACGTGATCTTCAATTTGTCGGACCAATCACAGAAAAGGACTTGGTTTTGATATCATGTATAGTGATCTTTTTTTTTTTT